AACCTTGGATTAGTGAGGGTAACAAACTAATACCACAACCAAATATATAATTCTAAATTGTTGGCAGTGCTACATGGCAACAGTAAAGGAGTAACTGGTGGCAGGTATTAGCAAGGGCATCTGATTTCAATGTGAGGGGCAGGAAAGGCTTCTTTAAGGGAGTAACATATAGGCAGAAATCTTTTTTTTTTTAGACAGAGTCTTATTATGTCGCCCTCGGGAGAGTGCCATGGTGTCACAGCTCATAGTGCAAACTTTTAGGCTTAAGCAATTCTCTTGCCTCAGGCTCCCACGTAGCTGGGATTACAGGCACCCGCCACAATGCCCGGGTATTTTGTTGTTGTAATCGTCATTGTTTGGTGGGCCCTGGCTGGGTTTGAACCCCCCCAGCTCCAGTGTATGTGGCTGGCATACTAGCTGCTGAGCTACAGGCGCCAAGCCATAAGCAGATATCTAAAAGGCGAGTAAGAAGCCAGGAAGTGTGACTTACACCTATAATCCTAGCACTCTGTGAAACCGAGATGGGAGAATAGCTTGAGCTTGGGAATTCAAGACCAGCCTAAGCAAAGTAAGACCCCATCTCTACTAAAAATAGAAAACTTAGCCAGGCCTGCTGTCAGGTACCTGTAGTCCCAGCTACTCAGGAGACTGAGGCAAGAGTGTTGCTTGACCCAGGAGTTTGAGGAGCTAGGCTGAAGCCGTGGAACTCTAGACCAAGCAGGTGACAGAGTGAGACTCTGTCTCAAAAAGAAAAAGAAAAGGAGAAAAAAAGGCGAGTAAGAATTCATCTGGCAATGGCTCGGCGCCTATGGCTCAACCGGCTAAGGCGCCAGCCACGTACACCTAAGGTGGCGGGTTCGAATCCCCAGCCTGGACCCGCCAAACAACAATGACGGCTGCAACCAAAAAATAGCCAGGCGTTGTGGCGGGCGCCTGTGGTCCCAGCTACTTGGGAGGCGGAGGCAGGAGACTCGCTTGAGCCCAGGAGTTGGAGGTTGCTGTGAGCTGTAATGCCACGGCACTCTACCCAGGGGGACAGCTTGAGGCTCTGTCTCAAAAAAAAAAAAAAAAAAAAAAAGAATTCATCTGGCAAAAAGAGGGGAGTTCCAGCAGAGAGAGAAGTATATGCAAAGGTCCGTCAGAGGGCTGGGAGCAGATGGTGGGGCTGAGGCCAGAGTTCCCTCAGCTGGGATTCAGAGCATCAGAGATGGAGGATGGACCTTCCAAGGGATGAGAAGCTACAAATACAAATACTCGCAGGTCTGCTGCAGACTGAGGCTGTTCTTGTCTTAGGGCTTTTATTTTTGCTGTGAAAGAAGAAGTAACTAAAAGTAACTAAATGAAGGCTTAAAGGTGTAAAATCCTAGTTGCTGAGGGTGCATGAGATTTCTGACTTAAGAGTGCACAACTGGGCTTGGCGCCTATAGCTCAACCGGCTAAGGCGCCAGCCACGTACACCTAAGGTGGCGGGTTCGAATCCCCAGCCTGGACCCGCCAAACAACAATGACGGCTGCAACCTAGCCGGGCATTGTGGTGGGCGCCTGTGGTCCCAGCTACTTGGGAGGCGGAGGCAGGAGACTCGCTTGAGCCCAGGAGTTGGAGGTTGCTGTGAGCTGTAATGCCACGGCACTCTACCCAGGGGGACAGCTTGAGGCTCTGTCTCAAAAAAAAAAAAAAAAAAAAGAGTGCGCAACTGAAGTCGATGATTTAGAGTGACAGAAGTGTGTGCTCTGGGATGATTTCCCCAATGGTCCTCAGCTGCTGGGGAGCAAGGACAGAGAAGACAAAGGTCAGATCCATCTAGGGTTGGGTAGATGGAAAGGAAAGACAGGGAAGACGAGTTGAAGGCATGTACAAAGGAGAGATTGTCATGGTAAACCTGGAACCTTGTGTACAGAAGGGGAGATGTGAAAGCAGGAGGACCAGTGATTCCTCAGCAAGCTTATAGAACAGCTGCAGTGAGGCAACTTGAGCAAACCAGCCATAAGGAAGGGAGATCCTATCAGAGAGCAGGATGTTTGATTCAGTTATTTCTTAGGTGCTGTGTTTCTGTTGATGATAAGCCCAGGGCATGCTCTCGGGAGAGGCTCCCTGGGGCAGGGGGGTGGGGGGAGGCAGGGGGGTGAAATGTTAGCAAGGAGAGGGTGCAAGAGCTGAGGGTCAGCCTGCCAGATGGAGTAGCCACACGAATGGCGACCTCAAAGGGAATCACATCTACCACTCTTCCACTGTACCCCATCCTCATCTACATCCCCTCTCCTTATCCCCAATGTCCTACCTCCATACCTGTTTCTCCCTTACATATGCGTCTTCTTGAACACCTGTTCTTTTATCTAACCCAAACCTCTCTTATCCCTGCATCTGCTCTCCTTATCCTCATTCTCTCCTCACTCCTCATCCTGTTCCACTCATCACAACCTTACTTCCCTCCACACCAGGCACTGGAGAAGCTACAGGACAGTGGGTTACAGTCTGCTCCAGAGCCTGCCTACAGGGACTCAAAGCCTGCACCGCCCATTACCATCTCTGCACATTGCCTAATTTTGCTGCATCTCCACTGCAAAACTTGGAAAATAATACTAATAGTAACTACCTCATAAGGTTGCCAAAGAATTATATGAGTATAAAACCCCTGGAACAATATCTGGCCACAAAGGGGGTGCGCCATAAAGTGGTGATTACTCTTCACGCTCTCTCCTCACCTCCTTGCTATCTCCTCACCTCCATCTTCTTATCTCCATTATCCCTCTGCACCATTCTTCCTACCTCTTCAAGGAGGAAGACACCAAAAAGACTCAGGCGCCACCCGCAGTCCACCAGGGAAACAAGCACAGAAATAAACAAGCCAGGATAAAGTAGTAAGCCTGCTTCAAAGATGAGAAAGAAATGCTACTGGAGAACAAAAGATTCACGGACTAACTCTGCCTGGGGGAGCAAAGAAAAGTCTCTACAGGCAGATAACCTCTGAGCTGAATTTTGAAAGATGAAGAAGAATTTGCAGTGTGAAGGCAGGAAAGATTTATCCCTCCCTGCATGCGTGACTTCGGGCTTAACCCCTGCCCTGGTGGGGTACGCCCTACCTCAGTGTAACCACAAGGGGGGAGCAGAGCACCAGGAGCCGCCGCAGACTGGCCAGAAAACCTAAGAGTAGCCCAACAGATCTTCAATTCATCACGCAAATCCCCAACCAGTATCCACCCCCCAACTCAGAAATTTTGGAGAGAAAAACGAGGTTTATCTTAGAGAAAGAGCAGAGTCCTCCAAAGATTTGTACACATACTAATGATAAAAGACTAGTATTCCTCTGAGTTGAAAGCATATGTAGGCTTGGTGCCTGTGGCTGAAGTGGCTAGGGCGCCAGCCACATACACCTAGGGTGGTAGGTTCGAATCCAGCCCCAGCCCGCCAAACAATAATGACGGCTGCAACCAAAAAATAGCTGGGCATTGTGGCGGGCGCCTGTGGTCCCAGCTACTTGAGAGGCTGAGGCAGAAGAATCAACTAAGCCCA